ACGATCTTACATGTTAAAATATGCCAAATGTAAGAGTTTTGAGAAACTCACTTAAACTCACAAATTCGATGGTTATACGATCTTACATGTTAAAATATGCCAAATATAAGAGTTTTGAGAAACTCACTTAAAGTCACAAATTCGATGGTTTTACGATCTTACATGTCAAAATATGCCAAATATAAGAGTTTTGAGAAACTCGCTTAAAGTCACAAATTCGATGGTTTACGATCGTACATGTTAAAATATGCAAAATATAAGAGTTTTGAGAAACTCACTTAAAGTCACAAATTCGATGGTTTTACGATCTTACATGTCAAAATATGCAAAATATAAGATTTTTGAGAAACTCACTTAAAGTCACAAATTCGATGGTTTTACGATCTTACATGGTAAAATATGCAAAATATAAGAGTTGAGAAATTTGCTTAAAGTCACAAATTCGATGGTTTTACGATCGCACATGTTAAAATATGCAAAATATTAGAGTTTTGAGAAACTTATTGAAAATCACAAATTCGATGGTTTCACGATCGTACATGTTAAAATGTGTAAAAGGTAAAAGTTTTGAGAAACTTACTGAAAATCACAAATTCGATGGTTTTACGATCGCACATGTTAAAATATGCAAAATATTAGAGTTTGAGAAACTTATTGAAAATCACAAATTCGATGGTTTTACGATCGTACATGTTAAAATATGCAAAATATAAGAGTTTTGAGCAATTTACTTAAAGTCACAAATTAGATGGTTTTCGATCGTACATGTTAAAATATGCAAAATATAAGAGTTTTGAGAAACCTACTGAAAATCACAAATTCGATGGTTTTACGATGGTACATGTTAAAATATGCAAAATATAAGAGTTATGAGAAACTTGCTTAAAGTCACATATTCCATGGTTTTACGATCGTACATGTTAAAATGTGCAACATACTAGAGTTTTGAGAAACTTGTTGAAAATCACAAATTCGGTGGTTTTACGATCGTACATGTTAAAATATGCAAAATATAAGAGTTTTGAGAAACTTATTGAAAATCACAAATTCGATGGATTTACGATCGCACATGTTAAAATATGCAAAATATAAGAGTTTTGAGAAACTTACTGAAAATCACAAATTCGATGGTTTTACGATCGCACATGTTAAAATATGCAAAATATAAGAGTTTTGAGAATCTTACTGAAAATCACAAATTCGATGGTTTTACGATCTACATTTAAATATCGAATTAAAGAGTTTTTAGAAACTTGCTTAAGTAACAAATTCGATGTTTTACGATTCTTAATGTTAAATTGCAAAATATAAGAGATTTTAGAAACTTGACTTATCACAATTCGATGGTTTTCGATTGTACATGTTAAATATGCAGAAAACTAGAGGTGTTTAGAAACTTGTTAAAAGTCACAAATTCGAT